GTCTGTCCTCATCTTCAGCAGCCAGTGGACATTTCCAGTGCTGTCTGTCCTCATCTTCAGCAGCCAGTGGACATTTCCAGTACTGTCTGTCCTCATCTTCAGCAGCCAGTGAACATTTCCAGTGCTGTCTGTCCTCATCTTCAGCAGCCAGCAAAGAGTTGAGTTCTAGTGCTGTCTTTCCTCATCTTCAGCAGCCAGCAAAGAGTTGAGTTCTAGTGCTGTCTGTCCTCATCTTCAGCAGCCAGCAAAGAGTTGAGTTCTAGTGCTGTCTGTCCTCATCTTCAGCAGCCAGTGGACATTTCCAGTGCTGTCTGTCCTCATCTTCAGCAGCCAGTGGACATTTCCAGTACTGTCTGTCCTCATCTTCAGCAGCCAGCAAAGAGTTGAGTTCTAGTGCTGTCTTTCCTCATCTTCAGCAGCCAGCAAAGAGTTGAGTTCTAGTGCTGTCTGTCCTCATCTTCAGCAGCCAGCAAAGAGTTGAGTTCTAGTGCTGTCTGTCCTCATCTTCAGCAGCCAGCAAAGAGTTGAGTTCTAGTGCCGTCTGTCCTCATCTTCAGCAGCCAGCAAAGAGTTGAGTTCTAGTGCTGTCTGTCCTTATCTTCAGCAGCCAGCAAAGAGTTGAGTTCTAGTGCTGTCTGTCCTTATCTTCAGCAGCCAGCAAAGAGTTGAGTTCTAGTGCTGTCTGTCCTTATCTTCAGCAGCCAGCAAAGAGTTGAGTTCTAGTGCTGTCTGTCCTTATCTTCAGCAGCCAGCAAAGAGTTGAGTTCTAGTGCTGTCTGTCCTCATCTTCAGCAGCCAGCAAAGAGTTGAGTTCTAGTGCTGTCTGTCCTCATCTTCAGCAGCCAGCAAAGAGTTGAGTTCTAGTGCTGTCTGTCCTCATCTTCAGCAGCCAGCAACAAGTTGAGTTCTAGTGCTGTCTGTCCTCATCTTCAGCAGCCAGCAAAGAGTTGAGTTCTAGTGCTGTCTCTCCTCATCTTCAGCAGGCAGTGAAGAGTTCTAGTGCTATCTGCCCTCACCTTTCCATCTTTCCAGAAGGCAGCGTTTAATTGTGCATGGTAATTACAGTCCATGGCGACGGCATGTGTTATTTGTAAGGCCTGCCTGTGTTAAGACGAATCTTCCACAATGAATGTGTGAGATCTCAGGAATATTGTTGCCGTCACATGCATTTGGCATGTTTCTTCTCAAACACTCAGTTAAATGAAAAGTATGCTTTTTTAAAAATAAAATTGTTGTTATTTGAAATAAAGATACACATTTAACATTGGAGCCTCGGTAGCGCAGTGGCCAGACACTTCCCACATGCCCAAAGGTCTTGGTTCGAATCCATATAGAGACAGATGATTTCAGAATTAACTATTCTGGGTTGCACCAGAGACACCCCAGTGGTATGTATGCGATACATTCTTGGTTTGCCAACTGTTGCAGGTAGGCACAAGGTGCTGCAGGCGAAGTCATATCTCAGGGTAGCTGCAGACACAGACCACCCTTTGCACGAAGCTGTGGGTGCAGTTAAGGGTCAGCGGCTGATAATAGGGAAGTCATGGATGGCTCAGGCAGAAGACACAATACCTCCCAATGCTGTAGCCTGTCTCGACTGTTCCATCCCCCTACAACACAGCAGCTTTGTATGTTTCTCTAAGGCAGTGGCTCTCAACCTTCCTAACTCTGCGACCCTTTAATACAGTTCCTTCATGTTGTGGCACCCACAGACAATCATTTTCTTTCATAACTTCAATGAATATGCGTTTTCTGATGGTCTTAGGCCACCCATGCAAAAGAGTCGTTCAACCCCCCTCAAAAAAGGGTTGTGACTGGCAGGTTGAGAAACGCTGCTCTAAGGTCTGTCCCATCTACCCACAACACAGCAGGTTTATGTCTCTCTCAGATCTGTTCTATGTACCCACAACACAGCAGGTTTGTGTCTCTCTCAGGTTTTTCCCATCTACTCAGAATACAGCAGGTTTTTGTCTCTTTATGGTCTGCCCTGTCTACTCACAGCACCACAGGTTTGTGTCTCTCTCAGGCAGCTAACTAACTTTAAATTAAGATTAAGAACCTGTCAAGTGTTACACAATATTCAAACATCACTCTTGAGGTCACGAGGACACACAAGCTCCTCCAACTCTTCAAGGTAGCAGCATAGGAGAGGGGTGATGTACAGTTTGGCGTTATATTTTACTTCATTATACCGTTTATATTCCTCATTAATCTCTACCCTAATTATTTGTTGAAGTTTGGCATGCTGCAGCAGGATTACAGACTAGTTTGTTCACACCTCCTAGGTAAATTGCTTTAATTGCTTTAGTGGCATTTCAAAACTTGTTTTTCTTCTACATTTTCTGGCTGTAACTTCAGCCGAAAGTCTTGGTTGGTCGTCCATTTTTTGGACTTTAGTCTTGACTTGAGTGTTGCAAGCATCCTCATCATTTTACAGAACTGGCTTATTTTTTCAGTTCAGTTCACCAGTGCAGTTTTTATGGAGATCCTTAGGGATCGTTGCTGGAGCTACGGGGAGGGGAGGGGGAGGGGGGGGGTGTCTTTAAAGTTGATCTTCTCACCTTTACTTTTAGTTTATGTGCTTCAGTTTAATAATCTTTGAGTTGAGTTATACTGTGGGACATGCTGAGCTGAAGTAACAATACAGAAAATTAACATAACTGAAGAATCAGACATAAGAAATAAAGAAATGTACACCATGGAAAAAGTAATTAATGTGCATTTACTGAAATGAAACATATATGGACAGAAGAGTTTAAAGTGACAGATGTGGCTAGCTATCGTAGGAAGCTCTTGACAAAGTACTTGACATGCTCTTGCATTTTTTAAAAACACTCATTGTGTTGAGAGGGCTAGCTTGCGGTCTGTGATTTAATTATAGGAAATAATGAGTTTGTTTTCTCCACAGGACAACCACTTTAAACTCAGGGGAGATGTATAAGTTGCTTTGAGCAACAGTAAATTATCCAACCGTCCATCCATCCATCCAACCATCCATCCATCCAACTGTCTGTCTATCCATCTAATGTCCATCCATCTATCCATCTGTCTGTCTATCCTTCTGATGTCCATCCATCTATCCATCAGATGTCCATCCATCCCCTCCATCTGTGCATCCCTTCTAGGAGTATTCTGTTAGCACATGCTTATGTGTTCTGTGTTTATTATAATCCTGAAGAAACAGAAACCATAGAATGTAAGCGGAATGAAATAATGTGCACAATGTTTTCTCTGAGGATTCTGGGCTCCATTTGGGGGGGGGGGGGGGGGGGGAGGAAGAGACCTACTGAAAAAACGAATGAACAGGGTCACAAATTTGGCACAAAGACCCCGTCTTACATTCGACCCTATCAGAAATGCATCTTTCACCGAGCAGTTGTATTTTGTCAATAAGGCATGTTTGTTCATTTAACAATATACATAATATGAATATCAAGGTAAAACACAAAAGCATAGATGGTAAATGCATGAACACATGCACTCACACAAACACTCACACTCACTCACCCACACACCACCCACCCACACACACACTTGCATGCACACACTCATACACATGTACACCCACACTAATTCATACAGATGTATACACCCACCCACACACACATTCATTCATTTAGCACAATACATACACTTATGCCTACACACTCATTCATACAGTCATTCTCAAATATTCATGCATACACATATACAGTCATGCTTTCTCACACTTACTCCTCACAAGTTTGGTATGAAAGGTGACTACTAATGGGCTTGCACTGAAATCAGATATATTGAGACAAAAAGTGCTGATGCTACAGCATAGCTGTAAAGTAAAACACAATACACCCTTTTAAGAATGGACACAGAAAAGGAATGAGGCATAATGTATCATATTACACAATATTGCTAAGATTTATTATGAAAAGTATTTGGAAGAAACTAGCCAGACAAAGGGAAAAAACAATATGGTTTTGTACGATCATGGTTGAACTTCTAAAGCCTCATCTGTCAAGTGAACATTTATATGGCATCCAATGGCTGATGCTTTTGTAATTATTATTTCTGTTTGTTTTAATTGCCAACTTTTAACAGAATACAGTTCTCCACTTTTGGTCTGTGGTTGTAATCAGGGCCGTCTTAACAGCATTATGCGTCCCTGAAAAACCAGTGTGCTGGGGCCCCTATGACAACCACTCTCTGGAATGACATGTGAATGGTCGATGGTATTAAACATATATTTATTTCATTGGTACCTCGACAAAACTGCTTTTGGAGGTTGGTGGATGTGGAAGAGAATTTCAGTTTTATGTTACATATAATTAATTTGAACGTCAAAAATATTTTTATTTATGGCTCATCACTTGAAAGACATAGATTAGCATGGGGTTCTTATGCTCGTGGGGCTCCCACTCAAGTGCCCAGCAGGTCCAATGCATTAAGATGGCCCTTGTTCTAATATATCCTCTCTTCAGTTTTTTTAAAATGTCCTAATAGAGAATAGGACAGTTCATTCAGTCCTTTGTGGACTTGTTCACGATTGGGTTGGATTTTACAGCTACAATTTTCTTTTTGATAAGGTAATTAGTCTCATGCGTTTCTTAGTCACCTGTTATGGCATGCATGGTAGGTTTTGCTGTGGCTGTGTTCCAGGGCTCCATTTTGGAGAACAAAGAATAGACCCACTGCCTCCCCAAACAATCATATTGTAGGAGGCGACTGATCAGGGGTGTTACATTCAGAGTCCAAGTGCATCTACCTGAGAGGCAAGAAACCTAGCCACCTATACAAATAAGCCAGATTTATCAAATGAATGTGTATGCAAAACTCAGTTTCTAGATCTAAGCCAAAGTCCTGGAATGGATGAATTATGAGAACTTTCGGCAGAAGTTTACGGCCGGTAAACACTAAGAAGAAGAAGTGTTGCTATTTTTTGCTTCCTTTATCAGTTCTGGTAAATGTGTACTTATTATATTTTGCAGACACCCTAGTGGAGAGCACAGTTGGAGTTCACATGAACAATGGAGCTGATAAAGAACTTAATGAGTCCCAGGTCAAGAAGAAAGAAGCTGGAGCTGGCTGGTGGGGATGTAGGGAGCAGCATCATGCCAGCATCACCAAACATCTTTGGCCTACCCCTGGAAGAGCTTATGGCTAAAGCCCCACCAAGTGCAACTGTACCTCCAGTGATTAGCAGAATCTGCGAATATATTTACAAATATGGTAAGAATTCGGCGTAGTATTGTGGGTGTGTGAAGTAGACCTTCTGCTGCTAGCCTGTATTTTTAAACACATTTTAAAACATATGCAGTCATAAGGGAAAACCATGCATGTTGTTATGTGTGGGATACAGCCACTGTGGTGTAGCGGCTAGTCGCTTGCTTGCAGATTGTAAGGTCGTGGGGCCAGGTCCTGATGGAGCCGATTTTTTTCTCTTAAAAAATGACCTTGGCTCTCAGGTGGCACAGGGGGTAGCAGGTATAGTTGGGAAGTAAAGGCGAGTGGCTAATGCTGACCACATCACACACCACGTGCCGATTGATCTATAAAATATAGATCTAGCCCTATATGCCCAATACGCCTGATGACACGGAAAAGGGTCCTTAACTTTTATATATGGAATATTACTTGAGTGTGAAGAGTAAGAGATCTCTTTATTCTGGCTTAGCTTATTCAGTATTTGAGGTCATCCTTCTGAAACTTGATATATTTTGGCATATTGCCTATGGTTGTGGAATTGTGCGGTTTCACATATCTCAGTAAGGATTTCTAGTATATCTGCATAGTGTATGTGGGTATCTTGAACAAGATGTTTTTGGCTTTGACCTTACTAATCTGTTTTCTTGTAATTTTGGTGCAGTGGATGTTTAAGTAACATTCTGAGCTATAAAGCCATTGGGTAAGAATTTCTTATCGGCTGTCTTTATCCATCTCTGTTTGATCTATATAAGTAATATAGTATATGAAATACCAGATGGAGTCAACATTTCTCTTTGTCAACGAACTTTCCTGGCTCTGTTGAGGATTGTAGAAAATATATAGAGTAAAACACAGGAAGGTGTACAGAGTAGAGAAAATGAATGTTAGAATGGCTTCTAAATATAAACTGGAGCAAAATATGTGTCAAAGTACAGCCAGTTTGATTTGAAGAGACATGAGCTGCTAAAAGGCAAATAGCTTTGGAATCAAAATGTATTGTAGACTTATGAGAACTGATTTGGATGGGGAGCATAAAAAGTTATGTATATATAGGAAAAGTTGGTTGGCACTGAAATATGGAAATATAAAATATGGGCAGGCGTGCACTGTTGTTAACACTGTAAGTAAGTAGGCTTTAAAATACATTGTGAGAAAAAAAAATTGTGTCCATCTCAAAAAAGAGAAATATCAGAAAATAATATCTGAGTAAATAGAAACATTATTAACCAGATAATTCTTCTTCTTCTTCTTCTTCGTGTTCACCGGCTGTGAACTCAGGCGGAAAGTTCTGGTTGTTCGTCCACTTCTGGACTACAGTCCTGTTCCAGAACCTGAGTGTTGCATGTGCATCCGTTTGACAGATCTGTATGCAGACTGTTGGTTCCTTGCCTCTCAGGCAGATGCACTCTGACTTTTAAGGAAGCTCCCAATTAGTCGACTCTTACGACATCCTTTCGGGTAGGCAGTGGGGCTATTCTTGTTTTTCCCATGAGAAGGCCCCGGAACCCACACGGGGAAACCAGATAATTCAGTATAGTCCTCTTGGAAATTAGGATAGTCCTCTTGGAAATTATGGTAGTCCTGTGGGAAACGATGGTAGTTCTCTTGGTAAACATGGTAATACTCTTGGAAATGATGGTAGTCCTCTTGGAAATTATAGTAGTTCTCTTGGAAATGATGGTAGTCCTCTTGAAATGATGGTAGTCCTCTTGGAAATGATGGTAGTCCTCTTGGAAATGATGGTAGTCCTCTTGAAATGATAGTAGTCCTCTTGGAAATGATAGTAGTCCTCTTGGAAATGATGGTAGTCCTCTTGGAAATTTTGGTAGTCCTCTTGGAAATTTTGGTAGTCTTGTGGGAAATGATGGCAGTCCTCTTGGAAATGATGGAAGTCCTTTTGGAAATGATGGTAGTCCTGTGGGAAATGATGATAGTCCTGTGGGAAATGATGGTAGTCCTCTTGAAAATGATGGTTATCCTGTGGGAAATTATGTTAGTCCTGTGGAAAATGATGGTATTCCTGTGGGAAATGATGGTAGTCCTCTTGGAAATGATGGTAGTCCTCTTGGAAATGATGGTAGTCCTCTTGAAAATGATGGTTATCCTGTGGGAAATTATGTTAGTCCTGTGGAAAATGATGGTATTCCTGTGGGAAATGATGGTAGTCCTCTTGGAAATGATGGTAGTCCTCTTGGAAATGATGGTAGTCCTCTTGGAAATAATTGTAGTCCTCTTGGAAATGATGGTAATCCTCTTGCAAATCATGAAACTCATCTTGGAAATCATGACATTTAACAAATAAATGTAAAGATATAAAAAAAATGCTGTTAAGCAGCAGACTTTAGCAAAATGGAAAACAGACTCACTGATAAAATGCTACATTTTGCAGTGTGTGTTCTGGGTACCCAATGTGGGGAAAACAGTAGATCCTCTGTATACCCAAAAGCATGTCATAAGAATCGACTAATTGTCTGTTTCCTTTGAAGTCGGAGTGCATCTGCCTGAAAGACAAGGAATCAGCAGTCTGCATACAAATGAGTCAGATCTTAAAAATGGATGTGCACGCAACACTCAGGGTCTGGAAGTGAACAAACAACCAGACCTTTCTTCCTGAGTTTACACCTGGTGAACCCAAAGAAAAAGAAATGCTAAATTTACAGTTTACAGAGGTAAACATTCTTAAACAGATGATTCTGTATAGACCTCTTGGAAATCATTTTATTTGACAGATAGCTGTAGAGATTACAAAAAGAACTGCTGTGACAACAGACTTTCATAAGATGGAAATGATACTCACCAATAAAATGCTGTCAATTTCAGTGGGAAAAGTGTGTTAAAAGTGTTATATAGGACGTGTACTGTTGTATCCTGCCACAGATGAAAAGGGGATCTCCGTGACGAAGTGGTTAAACCATTTGCCTCGCGTTCTGAAGGTCGTGGGTTTGTTTCAGTTGACAAGCCAATTTTTATGGAGATCCCTGGAGATCATCGCTGGAGCTATGGATTTCATGCTTTGTATCATGCTCTCAGCAGGCAGCTAGCCGTTCTGTGGAGAGAGACCGAGCCAAAGGGGAAAAAACCTGGTGCAATGATGTTGATCTTCTTGACTGGTCAGACTGGTGGCTCCCGGGCCACATGCAGCCATTTGCAGGCATATCTGTGGCCCACACAAAGGAAATATTCTGCACTAATTTTTATATTTGTTATGTTTGGCCCTCATGTCGACACATGTATGACCCACATGGTCCTCCGTTTGACATGTCTCATCTAGAGCAGTATTACACAGCCATGCTAGCACAAAATTGTGATGCACCAGAAGGCACTTGATAAATGATGTGGGCATTATTACACCTTCCAGGAAATTTCTCGGTTTCAATTTTAAACAGAGCCACCCCAAGGGCGCTCGAGAATTTGAACAGTGTCTTAATGAGGATTCAAAACCTGTGACCACCGATTCTGACATGGTTTTATTTTATTTTTCAGTGCGACTTAAAATATACTGAATTCATTTGCTAACTCAAAATTTATAATTTATGAATCTACCAGCTGCAGTCAGTTTTAAAAAAGCTGGTTAATTTTTGGGAGGCTTAACTTTCCACCATGTTTATCTTATCTGCATAAGACAGCAACAATGAGAAGATTGTTTGTGTGTCTTAATGATCTCTTTACGCATGTGTATTTTGTCTTTTTAAATTTAAATGTAAATACACAAATCATTAATTTATGTTATATTGTCTGAGTTAAGAAACATCATAAAAATTCTAGTTTTCCCCGTTATAATCATTGTTTGTGGTTTTACATACAATTTCCAGTTTATTATTCTCACTTAAGAGTTGTGGACTGTGCTGTAAGTGGAAAAATACTGCCACTTTTCATGATCTTAGGAGGAGATATCTGCAGCAGTGAATGTCAAGGGCTCGGAATGCTGTAGAAGAAGTTAAACACTGTAATGATTTGGAAAGAAGCTGTGATGGTATAGTTTTTGGAGGGAGAGATAGAGTGGACACATGATATCAAAGACACCCTGAGCATGAAAGTTTACTTGGTACAGTAGATTTCTGGGTTGCCGTGATGAGACAGATGTTCTATAAAGGACCTGCTACCTGATGATGCTCATTTGTGATCCCCAACAAAAAGTGTGGAAAAATAACAAAGAAGTCGTCTGTTTAATTCATTTTCTGTTAAGTGTACCTTTTTTTTTTGACTTTGCGACTTACAAGAGTTTTCACTTAATGACCTCACACACACACACACACAAACACAAAAAAAAAAAAAAAAAAAAAAATAAAAAAAAAAACAGTAAATAAAGAAAAATAACCACACTGGTAGGTTCAAAAAGTTCCTAGAACTGGTGCAGTAGAATCATTATGTATTTTCTTTTTCACTTTGTGTTCAATAATTAAAATTATAGTAAAGAGATTGAATATTTATGTTTTATGTACAAGTTAAAAAAAAAAAAAAAAAATTTGAGTAAAAACTGCCTAATCACACAGCTATTGCTGTGTGTAGGATTTAATAAATCAGGGATGAGAATTAAAGAAGTACAAACCCCTTTAACCCCGTTAATCAGCTTAAGACAGTTTTATTATGGCACCTGACAGTTGCGTGACCTATAGAGTCCAGTCTTGGCTTGGAGTAAGGACTATAACTGATGTAGAGGTTGTATGATTCCTGCAAAGTCAATGTGGTGCCATACACATTAGTTTTGTTTCAGTATTTTATTTATTAACTGTCAGATGCACAGTAAAACAGTTCTTCCCATTTTGGTGGGCTGTTGGTGTGAAAGTGTTGAGGAACAACTGATCTAGAGCAGTATTATGGAGCCACAGTAGCGTAGCAGGAACCTCTGTAGCACAGCGGCAAGTCGTTTGCTGGCTGGCCCGAAGTACTAGAGTTCAAATCCACATCAACGCAGATTTTTTGGCAAAATTTAGAACCAGCCAACCATCTGATGTTCATTTTCTCTGGCTCTGCACTCTTCCTTCCTGTACCTCCTTCAAGAAGCTGTCTCTCTCATGCTTGAGGTATCTAATTTGTCTGATCTTGATCTCAATCAGTAAATTTTTCTTGAATCTTAACTAAGATTTTTTTGTTTTTATTTTTCTGCCACAATATTTCCCAAATTCGTTAGTTAAAAAAAAAAAATGAATTGTTTATTTGTTAATGGTTAGTGAGCATTATCATTACAACACAGAGATCTGTAATTTTTTTGTCTGCTCCTTAATAGCCCCACAAGCATACAGAATCATCTGACACCTGTTCTGAATTGATATCAAATGTTTTTTACTCTTGGTATTTGTTAGAAGCTGTTTCATATTGTAGGTTACTTTAACAATTTTTTAAAAAAAAATCTGTTTTTGCATCTGCCCTCATCTGTTGTTAGTAATGTGTGGTGAGAAAAAGAATTTGCCAGTGCCAGATAAATAGGCAATGGTCCAGTTGTGTGTTATGTATGAGTTTGTAGCATGTGCTTATTCTGTCATCCTGCTTTTTTTTTTTTTGAAGTTACTAATTATTATCATGTGTGCTCTGTTTTTCTTCTTCTTTGAACCTATTTGTTTCCAATGGAGTGTTATGATAATTTTGTTTAATGCTATGCACACCATTTGATGTTTAGGTTTTATCAGGCTAGCCTGGGTACATTTAATTGAAAACCTGTGAGCTTTTAATTACTTGTGGTTAATAGAATGTTAACCAGACAAGATGTGCCTGGTTAGCAACTCTTTCATTCCCAGGCAGAATGTCCCTTTCCCATGAATACCGCCAGCCAATGTTAAAATTTTTTTTTTTTTTACATTTACTCAGAGTGTATGAAATAAGTCTGGCTTTCTTGGTAACCAATTTGAAAGTTTTTTTTTGTGTGGCTTAAGCATCTGCTTTATGGAACTGAAAGGATAATGATGGCACTGGTTTTATCGATTGATTGATTACTTGATTGATTGATTCATTGATTGATTCATTCATCCATTCAGTCTTTATCCAGCCTTGCCACATAGGACTTGGAGTTGATTCCTCCATTTTGTTCTATTCTGTACATTTTTGATTTTATGTAAAGTCATCTAGCATCTCTGGCATAGCTCATCAACAGTGTCTTAAATGACCTCACTTCCTGAATCCATTTGTTTCCTATTTTTTTTCTGCCTGCTTGTCTGCTTCAACTCAGATTTTGCTGAATATGTGGTTAGCTTTTTAAAACTTATAACACCTGCTACCAGCAGTTTTCCTTACATGTCTCTGATTTCTTCCCCTTTCTTGAATTCTTTTCTACTACCTACTTACTTTGTCTATCCTTTTCTACTTTGGGGTGTAGAGGTTTGCCAGAGAGATCACCAGACTTCTCTGTCTGCGGTTTTCTTTTTAGCTTTGTCTCATTCCAGTCCCCTGTCAGTCAGGGACTGTTGGATGTTGTCTTCCCATTGAACCCTGGATCGCCCTGGTGGTCTCATTCTTGGCCTCCCATGGTGGCTGATTTCCTCCCATTCTGCATACATATATCCAAACCATCACATCTGACTGTTAGACCTGGATGTCGAGATCATGAGATATTGTCTGATTGCGAACTTTATCCTTTTTTTTTTGTCACATTGACCTCTCCCTTTATGTCACATGGACCACCTTTCTCAGATGTCTCATTTCTGAGGCATGAAGCTGGCTTCTGTGAGCTGTTGTCATTCTCCTTGACTCACACTCGTAGGTCAAAACTTTCTTCTTGAATTCCCCCATTTAATATTCAATAATTTCCCCAGGCATTAAAACAAGTGATAAAAGATTAAGAAAGCAAGGACACCCAAAAGAAATCCTAAAATGAATGTTGATGAGAGAGGCAAAAGATGCCGGACTGGATTCCATCAGTGTCAATGACGTGATTGCGCAGGATAGAAGAGAATGGAAGAATAGACTATGAGCCCTAAGGCACAAATAGTGGCACAACAGGATAATGAATGAATGAATGAGTTTGCTCAGGCATTTGTTTTCCAATATTTTGAGGTTTTCATCTCATGCCTTTAATAGTTCTACAAATTTCACAAGAATGTGCTAGAATTAAAATAATGCTAGAAGTGAGCATATTCAAACTGGCTATGAAACAGTGTAATTTGGACTTCCATATTTTATTGGTTGAGACATTATCACAGGATGCTAAAGAAAATAATGATAACAATTATTTTACAGGGCTAGACAATGTCGGACTGTTTAGAGTAAGCGGCAGTGTGAGGGTCGTGGAAAAGATACGCATGCAGTTTGAGCAGATGGGGGATGCCAACCTAGAGGAGGAGAATGATGTTGCTGCTACAGCAGGACTTCTGAGAGTGTTCTTGCGGGACCTGCCTGATACTCTCATTCCTTCAAGGCTTACTAGACATTTCTTCTCTGTAATACAAGGTAGCAGTTGCTAAGTTATTATTGGATAGCTTCAGTTTATACCAGTGTTTCCCAAACTTGTCTCACTTGCTGCACCTTTTTTCAGTACAAAAATTTCCGCGGCGCCCTAACCTGAGTAAAAGTATGACTTTTCATATGTAAGAGATACCCCCCCCCCCCCCCCCCCCCCCCCCAATTTTTTTTTGTATATTTACAAATATTTCCTTGCACCCCTGTCAAGAGGTCGCAGCTCCCCGGGAAGTTTGGCAATCACTGGTTTATACAATGGGATACGTTCTGTTCATGTTTATTTCCTGCAATATAAGGCAGCATGTGATAGGTTGTTATCTTTCATTAACTTGTTTTCAGAACCAGGAACAGCTGGCTGAGGGGTAAGAACAACAGGCTCGTTTGTAGCCTAGGTTCAGTCCTGGTAAGGGATTTCATTTCTTTGGGGGGGGGGGGGGGAGAAATTAAAAGCCAACCCTAACAGTTCAGGGCGACTGCATCAGCATTGTGGCTTTACATTCTCAGGCTATAGACCCACCCCCATCCCATATCCTACACCATCCTTTAAACAGTGGTAGATACAAGCAGTGAAGGCAATTTAAAAAAAAGATTAAGAGCATTTGGTATTGTGGTTAGTATGCTTGCCCACTAAGGCGGTGATCTGGTTTCAATCCTCAGCCCAGACAGAGTAATTTATATTCAGACCAGATTGGCTATGTGGTTGGCTGACCTCTTTTAGGCTTCGGCTCTTCTTTCAATACAGGCCGGTAGCTGGAAAGCCGCTGATCGGCTTAGTGGGAGTTCTCTCCCTTGGCTGCATTGCAAACACGGAGCGGAAAAGTCACGAATCAAATGACATACTTACCTATCATCATACGGTTGCGTGTACGGTTGCGTAGTCATCATACGGTGGCGTAGGGTTTGGGTTAGGGTTAGGGATAGGGTTAGCGGCGTTAGGGGTTGGGTTAGGGTGTGGGTTAGGATTAGGGGTAGGGTTAGGGGTAGGGTTAGATGTGGAAATTTTGACATAGGAGTTCCAAATAATGGCCGACAATCTGATGCTTGTGGGAGTGGCGCCACTAGAATTTTCCCAAATTTGACGGCAATAGCGCGCGGCTGGTGCCCAATCCGTGGCGAATTGTCCGTTTGATTAGCATCCACAGTCGTTTGATTGTTTGGGTGTGTATGTGACTGTGCGCGATTATTTGGAACTCCTGCGTCAAAATTGTCACATCTAACCCTAACCCTACCCCTAACCCTAACCCTACCGCTACCCCTAACCACGCAAATTTATCGGTCATTAAGTCATACAGATCTGCAGGAGTCACATCCGTGGCAACTAATACCACTTTTATATAAGGATATATTTACTTTAAAAAAAAAACCCAGATTTCTCTGAAGCGTCAAATAAACACCCAGATCTGGGGGAAACACCCAAGCATTGGCAGCCCTGTTGTCGACCTCACTGTCTTTTTTGATTCGTGACTTTTCCGCTCCGTGTTCGCAATGCAGCCAAGGGAGAGAACTCCCACTAAGCCGATCGGCAGCTTTCCAGCTACCGGCCTGTAGTGAAAGGAGAGCCCTCTTTTAAATGAGGACCATCCCCTGTGGGTTCTGGGGCCCCATTCTGGGGTAAAAATAATAAACATTTTCCTGTTCCCACAAACAAGCATGTTGTAAAAGGTGATGATTAGGGGCATTTCCTTCAAACTCAGATTGCTTCTCTCTGAGAGGTGAGCAACAATCAGTCTGCATACGAATCAGCCAGATCTGTAAAACGTTTATACATACAAAACTGAAGTTCTGGAACGAGTCCAGAAGTTGATAGACAACCAAAACTTTCTGGTATAGTTTACAGCTGGTGAACGAGAAGAAGAAATGGACAGTTGTGCTGGTAATTGTCTGGGAAAGAAGGATAACTAGGAAGGAAATTGGGCACCTCACCTTATAGGCCACCTTATGTTTTTGACTTTGACTTGTACTGCCCAGTATGCAGTTAAGTTGATTGTGACAACATAACATAACATATTCTTTGGCAGGCAAGTTAGAGAACATTTTTGAGATCATGCATCTTTTCTATGGCAACTTATGAATGTGAATCATAGACTTTCCTGTCTTTGAAGAACAAATAGAGCTTTTTTTTACTGAAGTGCTACAGAACAATTATTAGAATATCGTGGACCAAGAAGAAGAGAAACACCAACATCTCACTTAATCTCAGCATCAAAGAGAATTGGCTCACAAACAGCATCCTGTCCATATGCCGAGGTATGTTGGCCATGTTGAGCATCATGGCCTGGAGAGAACAGTGATGGAGGGTGCAGTTTCTGGAAACTGAACAAATTCAAATTAGACCTCTGCAAAAATGGATACAAGACATTGAAAATGCAGTGGCTATAAAAGCACTTAGGCCTGGAGAATGGACTAGAGAGAAATATAGACTTTCAGACATGCCATGAAGATAGTGATGGTCTGTAAATGACCTGCTGATTGATGATGAGAATGTGAGAAAATCTGGCACATCACACCAGTGGCAGAAATGGCTATGGAGCTACCTTTGAATACAGAGTAACATTTGCCAGATTGTTATCATTAGTTTACTTCTTCTTATATAATTATTGGAAGTAGTTTATTTTTTCTTTCTTGCTGTAAATAAAGGTAATATTTGCAAGATAAAATGAAAAATAAAAAGAACTGTTATCAAAAAAGATATCAAACCACATGAAAAGAGGAACCAGTCAGCTTCACAGTATCACCGAAACGATAAGGCTAGAGCACCTTGATCAGCATACATAAATCTACAGTGAACAAAATTACACATAATCACTTAACTGCATAGCTCTGATAGCAGTCACATATCTGTCTGGTCACTAGAATAAATGCAAAGTAAATGAAATATACTTGATGCAAGGTCACAACAGAAAAAACAAAATAATGAGAATAAATCAGGCAAATAATAATGTGATTTCTCTGAATGCTATTCCACTCCAAGATGTGAAGTCGTACACCTTTTTGGGCAGTAATGTACATAAAGATGTGGTAACTGATAGAGATATTAAAATAGGAATACAAAGGCAAGAGGAGCTTTAATAGCACTAGAGAATGAAACCAATGATGCCAGCAGCAAGAGTGTTCAACCTGAAAACTGAGGCACCAAGAGGCAGGGGAAGAACGAAAAGAAGATGGATTGAAGGAGTCATTTACACCTTGAGACTGCATAATATCACGGCATATCAAACGACTGAGCGTGCCCTGGCTATTGACACAAGATGAAGAAGAAGAGATAGAATTACAAGTGTAGAGCTTTGGGAGAGAATTAAACAAATTCCACTAGATCAAGAGGTGAAAAAAAGATGCTGGCGTTTGATAGGGCACACATTGAGAAAACCTGAGAACAGTATAACTAGAATGCCTTTGCACTGGAACCCACAGGGGCATAGAAATGAAGAAAGATCAACACACGGAGAAGGGAGCTAGAGAGTGGAGTTAAGAAAATGGGAAGGACATGTGATAGTGAAGGATAGAACGACTTGACATAAGTTGTTTGAGGGCTTATGCTCCATTGGGAGCTAGAAAGGCAAAAGAAGAAGTAGAATAAAAAGACGTGTGGCTGCCAAGATTAAATACTGGCCAGACAAGTACCCCAGGCAATGTTATCACAATCAATACTGCATACTGGACATTTCCATAGGTAATCCTCCATTGCAGCAGTCACGCCAAAGTACCTCTACTGGTTGTCCCCATGTTTACAGTGTCTCATATCTTGACCTTGAAGACTGCATGGACATTCTTAACTCTGAGGTCATGTAGTCATGTCAGCATTAGAGACTAGTCATTATTTGCCTGCCTATTCGGTATAATGGAACCCAGCATTTTTTTTGCCTGTTTTAGGATTTCACAAGGCAGTTTTACATTTAGTAGTTTGTCCTTGCTCTCTGAATGGTCGGCTGCAAATACCACTTTCAAAGCAACTCAAGTCTGGTATGTCGACATCTTGGAATTAGAATGCCTTATAGCAGGGCCATTCAACTAAGTTTACTCAAGGTCCAAAACTGCAAAAAATTGAAATCATCACAAGCCAGAGATCTGATCCCCAGCATGGAAAAGTCATTAATAGAGTACAACCGGCAATGATCCACATGCCACTTGCTATGCCTCCATGGGCCGCATCTGGCCCACCGGCTGCCAGTTGAATAGCCCTGCCCTATAGCATTGATGATAGCTGCATTTAAAAATAACAAGTAAATAAAAAAAGCAACCTTGAGATCCTGTGAGGAAGCAGTGAGTACAAACACAAGTACACACCTTTCAAGTCAGGTTAAAAGAAATCACACACCATGCAAATGGAATATCAATTTTGTGGTCACTGTTATGAAAAAAGTAAAAATATACATTAGCGACTCAGAAAAGCGGTAACAAATCTGTTAAAACCCACATGTGTTTAACATGTCTGTGTTGATTATTTCTGTGCAGTATCCCAGCATACCGGTCTATTTTATTAATTCTAAATCGTATTTTGAGTCCAGATGTTTTTTATTTGTTAAATGTAAAACATTTGCTAGGATGTTATTATTAGCTAGCTTCTGTTTATGGGAAACAGCTTTGTTATTTTTGTTCTTTTGTAATAGATGTTTTGGTATAACATCGGTAAACAGTTAGAAGTAAAATTTATAGGAACATGTAACTTTTATCTGGCGACGTAACAGATGTGAGCCAAACATTATTTCACAATCGCTGAAAGAAAATGGGGGCCTTTGAATTTGGTTGTTACAGAAGGATTCTTGGAGTATCATGCTTTAAGAGCATATGCTCTTATCTGGCCACACCCCTTTTAATTTGCTGTTCTTGCAGTCATTACTTTGTTTTCGCAAATGTCTTTCTTTTCATAGAACATTCAGTCGATCAGCCTGGTCAGTGACATCTGCCTCACCTGCAAGCCTACCAGCTTGCTGATTTCCTTGCACAACTGCATGTACTGGCATGAAAATGAAACTGATCTTTGTCAGCCCTGACTGCTTAAGGGACACCACTGTCTTTGGACCCAGCCCATCTCTATCTTCTTGAGCAAACTCATTGAAAATATCAGCAATAACAGAGCTTTTATATTATATATATCAGTGTGAAAGGCTTGCCAGGCAGGCCTGTTGTATACTTATTGTTGAGCAGTCTTTTATTTTATTTTGAAGATTCACAACGAGACAAAAATACCCTGGTGGCGGAAGTGAAGAAGGCACTGAACCTGCTGCCTGTGGACAACTACAACCTGCTGAAGTATATCTCATCCTTGCTGGTGGTGGTGGCAGACAACGAATCTGATAATAAGATGTCTGCCATGTCGCTGGCCATCTTGTTTGGACCAAATGTGTTCAAGTGAGTGTCTAGTCATTACAAAGTTAAATGTTTATAATTAAGTGAAGGATCCTTTTCCATGCCTTTAGGCATATTGCAAATCTAGGGCTAGACCTATATTTTTTATAGACCAATCGGCACTTAGAAGATGATGTGATTAGCATAATTCCTTTAATGAAAACTATGGATAAGAAGTGTTGGACTATCTAAAAAAATTTGTCTTGCTGGTTGGCCCAGTGCTTATGTTTTCAGATTTCACCTTTGAAATGGGCACACACAAAGTTAAATTAGAACGTGTACACTTTGTGGCGACTGCAGCAGGATTGCAACCTTAAGAGTCCTCAGGCTTATATTCTTAGTGTTTGCTGGTGGAATATTCTAGTTGTTCACACATTTCTGGACTTTGTTCCAGATCTTGAGTTTTGGGTACAGATCTGGCTTATTTGTCTGCAGACTGGTTGTTTTCTTGCCTATTAAGCAGATGCTCTCTGACTTGAAAGGAAAACACCCCAACTCTAATTAGTTGGCTTTTATGACATATTTGTTTGCGGGGGGGGGGGGGGGGGGGAGTTTAGTGGATCTATTTCGCCTACCGCCCACTCACATCCCCTGCCCAGCAAACAAAAAAAATGGGTCTCTGGGGAGAATCAGATTTAAACCCTAGACCTTTGGTCCAGCAGATGTGTGTCTGGTCCATGGCTCCTGTTTGAATATATATATGAACATCTGATATTTCATACCCTAAAGATAGTATTGGCTACAGGAATTCCCTTACTGTGTTTGTGTGTTTCTGATCTCCAGATATGAGTTGACCTCTGGCATAGGAGGCCTCAAGGACATGGACAGCAGCAAGGATGTTGTGTTTTTGTTTATATCAGATTACAACTCACTATTTGCAGAGGAAGGTGATCTGAGCCCGAAGGAATTCTGGGTAATCTGCCAATTTATTCTTACCCCACTTTCATCATCAATTTCCCATATTATCTCTTTACCCTAGTATGTTGAATTGTTTATTATTGTTGTAGCATAATATTGATAATAGGGAGCTGTGGTAGAGCAGCGGCTTGACTCTTGCTTGCTTGCCTTGAGTTCAGATCTGCATCTTGGAAGGTTTTTTGATGAAAGACCTTGACTCCCAGGTCGACCGAGACTAAAATAGATACAGATAACAGGGGGAGTAAAGGTGGCTAGCTTGATGTTGAACATTGTCAACTGTCAAGCAGTCTGCCATGCTCACTGTGGGGGACTTAGCATTTATTTTATGCAGGTGATAATAGTTGAGCCTGCAGCGTCATCTTCTTAGACAAAAAATTATGGTTTTCTGTTGACTCTGCTGATGGGATCTTGTGGGGGTTTACTTTGTTCTTTCGACAGTTCCTTGTACTTTTCCTTGATAGGTGATTTAATTTCTGATAGTGACAATGAATGGGTGCGTTTTTCATTTGTTCCACTCTTTGCAAATCTATCTACTAACTCATTTCTTTTTTTTTTTTAATCGAATGATTTTCAAAGTTTGTGACATCTTCAGTTTCATTTGGTTAAATATTCAAAGGAGGGAACCCCTAGACCACCGAGCAGACAGGCAAATGTGAAGTCTACAGTTACTTTGTTGGCATCAAGCTGCTAGAAATAAAAATATGTGGTTTTTATTTCAGATCAGTGTTGTGGTCACTAAATGTGAACGGGGCAAAGAATTAACTGCTTTCTTTTCCTTTGACATGAAACCATAGATTTCATTGATACAGCTTTGTGGAGCAAATGATGTTTTTATGATGTTATTTTTTCTCCCAAAATAATCTCTGTTTTGTGTGTGAGTGTGTGGTTTGTATATATAATCATATCCACCACGTCTACGTATAAAAGCAGTTGCAATGAGTACCAAAGCTGTCATTTAGACATAATGACCACTGTGCAATGACTTCGTGTCTTTAAAAACTTTAATAGGCATAGTCACAACTGCCCAAAGATTTCATGTTTTTTAAAAACCAATTAAAGCCGGAAAAAACTGATTTAAAAGCCAGAAAAAGTGATTTCTTAGTCAAAGGTTATGAGAGAGCTAAATTGTTATTTAATTTTTAAAAAAAATGTAAAGTATGTGTCAGATTTAAAGAATGAGTTTCAGTAAACAAACAAGGGATGTTACAGTAGTTAACCTTCATCAGCAGACTGTTGATAAGAATGCTGAATGTTCAGCAATATTCAGCATTTAAGTAACTGCATTATAATATTCAAATATTGTGTACAAAGAAAAATGACAGAGTAATAAAAATAAATGGCAGTGGTGTAAAGTATGTGATACTTACCTTGATGGCTGCAAATTTTTTTAATGGAAAGAATATGTGGAAAGATGGAGATGTGGAAGATAATGAAAAGAGACAGTTCACAAGGGAATAAATATGACAGTGAAGATAAAAATAAAAATCAAGTGAACTTACTTACTGATAAACAGATGACATCATTGGCATGCTACACTATATTAAACTTAATGCAGTGGAGAGTGATTCACATTGGCAACTTCTTTCTTCCCTTGATTGAAAATGTGGGCATCAGTTCATTTTCCTAAAGGGGATATGAGCTTACCTACATTTGAAGTCACTAAAATATTGAAATTCTCATTTGTGTGTGTGTGTATTTTTGTATGCTAATTGTGATGAATAATTGTTATTTCAGGAAAGTTGTCGTAAGAAAAAGTTGCCACCACCAAGACCTCCTCCACCAAAAGTGCAGTCATTACCGTGCTTCTCTCTGCCGTCTGCTGACAATATTTCCACCATATTTCCAAATTCAGCTTCTTTTTCATCTCTGGACTTATGCCCTGTTCCTTCCCCTAGAAAAGTAAGTTAAGTTTTCCTCAGTTAATGTTTAACTGTTTCTGATTCTGCTGGCCTAGATGCCTAAGGAAATTGATGAACATTAATTGGGGTGATTTCAAGAAAGGCAAAGAAATAAGAGAAATGTCTATACAACCGCTGGTGTGAACAGTTAGTTATATGACTAAGAAGATGACATGACAGTATGTTGGGCACATGATGAGGAGAGATTCCCAAACAAGCACTTAAATGGAAAAAAAATGGACTGAGTAAATAAGAATGTCCAAAAGAAACCCTAAGACATCATAGATGAGAGGCCAGTGGTAAAAGGTAAAGTACCCTTTTCCACGCCTTTTCAGGTGTATTGGGTATATGGGGCTTGACCTACATTTTATAGACCAATGGCACAAGATGGGTGATGTGGTCAGAATCACACCGGCTGCCTTTATTTCCCAGGACTGCACCTGGTACCCACTCAAAGCTGGGTCGACCTGGGGAGGCCATTGGTGCTTGTCTTGATTTCACTCATGATAATTGAAACAGCTGCACAGGTTAGAATGACACAGAAGAATAAACTGCAAGCCGTATGTGATGTATAATAGAACACCAGGATAGTGATGATAATGGTGATGATGATTCCATTTACTGGAAAGAATAACGAAATGTTGAAGAAATATAAAGTGTCTTCATCAGAATTTCTAAGAATATTGTGAGCAGAGGGAGGAAGAAATGCTCAGGATTAAGTGTTTTAAGTGTTAAAGAATACAAAGAAAAAAACAAATGAAATTTATGGTGCGTGTAAATAGAAGATGATGAATCGGCACATTATTCATAAAAAAATATGACAGAGATGCATAAAGAGTCGATGTATGTTCCAGTCTAGGTACCTGAAGAGGAAAAAAGAAGAAGACAATTTTGAGTAAAGTATGATTAAGAAAGAAGTCTAGTCAGGATGCATGATTATTTGCAAATTTTCCAAGGCAGTTAGAATCTCATTATTTCAGCAGCACATTGAACCTGACAGGGTTCACCTTACACCTGATATTATATGCTGCAAGCACAGAGGTTCTACCTAAAAATTGTCTTAACCTGACACTGAAGGCCATAACTGAATTCGTCCACACATTAAAAAAAACCACCAATAAAGTCTAGAAGTTTAGAAATAGAAATAAGGAGTAGAAGATTCTAAATTGTGTTTTTATTCATAGTTTCAGCATTTCTTTTAATCTTGTTTTGTATGTTTTACAAGCTTACACCTGTCTTAGTTAAGTTTACTCATCAGATGACAGCCTGGGTCATTCACTGTTTATTCTTCATCTCCAAAACAGATTAAAACCATCAGCGACAGCAATTCCAGCTCAGATGTGGATGGAAGCCAAACACCCATCTTTTCAGTTCATCACATGACACCACCTCTTTTTAGTCCCAAAGATGATGCAGAGCACACCAGATCATTCTCACCCTTTACCCTTGAAAGGTTTTTACAATTCATATTGTTTTCTTTTGTCTGAATAAAAAAAAAAAAAAAGTGCATCTGTTGCATATACTCATTTGTAAGTTGTTTTTTTTAAAAGCATGTTTACAAGACAATCAGTCTTTATCTGATTTTTGTGTGTGCTTGTTTTTTGGTGTTTTTTGTGGTAAACGACAGTGGCCACACCGCCATCTTGTCACACAAGATGCCCGTGTGGCCTCTGTCGTTTACCACAACAAATTGGTTCTGTTGGTTTTCTTACTAACGTGAAGAGATTTTCTGTGATTTTGCTGTTTGCAGGAGTTGTTAGTCTAAACACACTTCGAGACATACTCAAGAGATTGGAGCACTTATGGTCATGTCTGATGTGCGATAAAGATTAACCCCCTATCCCTTGCTCTCTCCTTCCATCCATCCATCCATCAGTCCATACACAACCAGTATGATCATCAACTTCATTACAGTGCAGACCTGGGGACCCAAGAAATAGATAAACAAATTGTTCTTCACAACAGAAATTTGACACATCCAAGATCATCTTAAGCAGTCTGCAATGTATTAAGCTGTTCAACTCTTGGCATTGTTTTGCTTGCTCCATCTGTGGTGTTGATGTGATGTATTGCTCACTTATGTATGCTATTTTTCTCTGCATGCCTTATTATTAATAATAAGACTTAAAAGAGGATAAGTACACCAGTAGTGAATAAAAATAGTGGCTTTAATTTTGGAGTTGCTAAAAATGTTATAAAAGATCATATACTTTATTTACTTTATATTCATGTAATTATTGCCTCAGCTGTCCTGAAATCATTAATGAGCTGCATCTCTCAAATGCCAAAAATGACATAATTGATAGAAAAGTTTTTAAAAAAAATTATCGTTAAATAAATGAATTTTTAAAAGTCATTCAGAAAATGCAACTAACATAAGACTTAACACGCAGTGAGTAGGCCAGTAGTGTATCATACTGGTTAGTTGCATATCCTTGACAGGACGTTGCAGAACCAACCCCAATAGCCTCTGGCTGTTGTGTGGTTTTTCTAGGCAAATTTACCTCCAGTAGTTTGCCATCACTTTCTGGACGGTCGGCTTTCTTGATACCTCCGTCAAAACCAATGCAAGGCGCATGGCCTAGAGCTGGGATCGAACCCGTCATCCCAGCATTACAAACCGTTTGCATCGACTTAGCCACAGAGCCGACTAGTGTATCATACTAGTGGCTTTAAATTTGGAGTTGCTAAAAATGATTTTTATAAAAAATAACATATTTTATTTACTTCCAACCTATAAGATAGCTTGTTACTTCATAACCAAAGGGTGTCTCAGATATAACTATTTTATATTGTTTATTGGGTTTGTATTTGCATCGAAACAGTGCTCTTCCAGTCACTGTCAGTATCTCAAATATCAATAATGGAGCTAGAATAGTTTATTTATTTAAGTGCTGTGTTGTACATGGAGCTATGTAGTTGATGTGTACTTAATATATGTGAATTATTTTTCAGCGACACTCACAGCATTATAGAATCCCCAGTGATCACAACAGGCACATACAAGTAAGTTTCACATTTGCTATTTGTTGTAAATACCTCATGAGTTTTTATCACTTGTTTGTTGTTTACGAATCTCTGTTTGTCTCATTTTTATTATTCTTATACTGAGTTTATTGTTAGTCTTTCATAAGTAGCTGCCGTGGTGTAGCAGCTGGACGCTCTCCTGCAGATCCAAAGGTCGTGGGTTGAGGTCGTAATGGAGCCAGACTGCCTGTATGGCCAGTCACGCATGATGTCATGGAAAGGGATAGTTTAAAAAAAATTTTTTTTTTTTAAAGACTGTCTTTACTGACTGTATTCACCACTTGATGGCCAAGGACAGGGGGTTGTGAACCTGAGTATTTAAGGTCCCACAGCTAATGCAGTCATCAAGAACTGTATGGGTTGGAATTGTTATGTTGCCTCTGACAGTTCTTTCATAACACAAGTTTTCAATTGTGTGCGTAGACCTCTGAACATTGTCAAGTGGTCGGTTAAATATGGGTGTAGCACCTCATGCCCACTGACATGGAAATGATCCTTTACGTTTTAGGACTCTGTACTGCTTCCGTAATTCTTAACTGCCCCAGAGATAGCATGGATATTGCAAATGCTAGGCTGATTGAGCACAACAGTTTTGTTTTCTGGGTGTTTCTTTCTATATTTTTTTTTGTTCAGCCATTAGTTTGCTAGCTTGAATCAGGTTTGTTATTGAAGACAGTCTTTGAGAACTGCTATTGAGCATTACAGCAGTCGAGGGCTGGTTAATTTAAACTGATTTAACAGAATGGTATGGATACTGGTTAGGGCAGTCTGTGAGATTACATTTAGAAATGTCACTTCATATTCTTTAAAAAAAAAATTTTTTTTTAAAATTCCTCAGACAGCCCAGATGGAAGTGATTTAGTGAATGCTGTAAACCTTATAAAGTGTCACAGCAATTGTAATTACTAGAATACTCGAAGTACTTTGAATCTTATGTACTAGAAAGTATTTTGGATAGATGGTATCAAAGCTCTGAAGTCTAGAAGATGATGATGATGATGATGATGATGATGATGATGATGATGATGATGATGATAAATGTTGGCATAAAACAAAGACACATTGGGGATATGATCTTTGCAAATGTTTTCACGACTTCTGCATTCACCCTTGAAATGGCGGTGGACATGTTGTATTGTGGTTTACAGCTAGACTCTGATATCTGTGCCTTTTGACCCAAAACATCTAATTTAATCCAAATCGCTATTTATGACATGCATATTAGAGAGGCAGTGGGTTTGTTCTTCTTGGGTCCCAAAACCCACACAGGACATTGTCCTGAGTTCTGCTAGTTTGAAGCAAGTCAGTGCGTTATGTGGGTACCCTGATAGAAGTGAAGGAAAGACATATTAGAGAAGTTAAGAATAGAACAGCCCTAGCAAAAGCAGCATTTCACATGAGTTGGATAATGTGAGGAAAGGAAACTGAGAGAGATTATGTTGGACAGTAGAGCAACATGGAATGGAAGAATATCTGTATCAGAAATTATTGGAAGTACGTGAGACAGAATGTTGTGGATATAATTCTTCTTCTTCTTAGCGTACACCAGCTGTAAACTCTGACAGAAAGTCCTGGCTGCTCCGTCCATGTCAGGTCTTTGATCTTTTTCCAGGATTTGAGTTTTGTGAGCACATCCATTTTACAGATTTGGCTTACTCATGTGCAGACTGTTGGTTCCTCGCTTCTTAGGTAGATGCACTCCGACTTCAGAGAAGAAACTCATAATTAGTCACCTTTAATTATGGGGTGGGGGGGGGGGGGAATTTCTTCAGCTGGAATGAGGCCACTGAGAAGGCCATAAATTGTGACCAGTGCCACATGGCATAGGCTATAAGCAGATGAAAAAGAATGACCCATAAAGAGTTCCATCGTTTCAGTTGTCTTCACTTTGGCAGATAAATATGTGTCACACCCACACAGATCAGGAAAACAGTTCTGTCGCTAAAGTGGACTGTAGTGTGAGCATTGTTGGTATGCTAATGCACTAACCACTATGCTTTTTTGGCTCTAGAAGAGCTATAATAGTGACAATACAATCAGTTTTTTCCCCTTGTGAAGGTGAAAACTGTAGATATGTTCATAGTCATGGTGATCCACTCTTCCCCATCGATGGAGGTGTGCATGTAAGTGATGTGTCCATTTTAAAACTCTTTCAGAAGGTTACCCCAGCAAATGTCTATTGGGAGCTATAACCACTATGAAATTTTTTTTTTAAACAAAGATATTAAATATACAGGGCCACTAAAGACATTTTTTTTAAAAATGATAGCAATTGACATATATTGAGTGGCTCATAGAAGGAAGTAGACAGACAGAAAGACACTAGACAGCATCAAAATTTGAGAATTTTACACTGAACTAAACCTGTCTCTTTGAAATGATGAAATCGCCTTCCTGCAGAAAAAAAAAAGTGCATTTTACTGCATGACTGACTCGAAACCCCTAATAAGGGTGTTATATTTAGCCTGGTATGTCATTTAGCTTGAACCACGAATGTGGAATATGGCCAGAATTTGCTTCAGACAGATTTTTTAAAGCGTGCAATCTTTGTCCCTTGAGACGAAAAGAGAATTCTTAAAAGCTATATAAATCCTATCTTTAAATATGGAAGTGGATCATTGACAAGTGGTAAATTAGTGAAAACTGATTTGGAAGTTTCAGAGATGTGGTTTTATAGATGAATGATGAGCATACCCTGGACAGATAAATAGAGTAATGAAGATGTCTAGAAGAGACACTTATGAAGAGAACTGATTGTCCATATCAGAAGAAAACAGTCTACCTTCTTTGGTCATGTGATGAGAAGGAGAAAATTGGAGTACCCCATGACAGTAGGAAAGCTGGGAAGGAGAGGCAGAGGGAAGCCGAGAGAAAAGAGGCTGGACGGTTTGACATCATGGCATGGAGGATCATCTGTGTCAGAGTTGATTGAAAGTACACGAGACAGAAGGTTGTGAATAGACATGACTACCAGCGCCACAGGGCATGGCCTTTAAGAAGAAGAAACGTAGAAACAGAATTCTTACACAATTTTCTGCTTGTTGGAAATCACTAGAAAGAACCAGTAATGTATCGTATGTTGCTTGAGACTGAAAAAGATTATGCTGCCCAGGTTTTTTTTCAAGTCTCTTCACCACTTGTTTGTAGCTTACCCTGAACATTTTCTTTGAATCATTTTTACAGGTTTGTCGAGAAGACAATTGAAGAAACTGTGTCAGAGCACATCTTTGGAGTATTGGATTTTAACCAGAACTCTGGACAGCAGTGTAAGTCACAATCTGTGCTTACTTTTGTGTATTACATTCACCTGTGCACACAGACATACACACTGTCTTGACTATTTTAGTATCAGAGGACCAAGGTGTAGTGATGACGTTTGTAAACTTTGCAAGTGTAACCCATTAAAAGAGAACATACAACTACAGTTGCTTTGCACCATACACAAATTTATCATCAGAGTCACCAAAGAATAGGAGTATATTTCCACTTACTATCATGGTGCTCACGGCAAACTCGATACAATTTAGTAATATGTCAATACAGTTTAAACACAATTTGTACATTTGATTTTGTTTCACATAAAGTATTAGCTAATCTTCACACAGCCTATCATATCTCTGTCTGTCTGTCTGTCTGTCTGTCTGTCTGTCTGTCTGTCTGTCTGTCTGTCTGTCTGTCTGTCTGTCTGTCTGTCTGTCTGTCTGTCTGTCTGTCTGTCTGTCTGTCTGTCTGTCTGTCTGTCTGTCTCTCTCTCTCTGTCTCTCTCTCTCTCTCTCTCTCTCTCTCTCTCTCACTCCCTCCCTCTCCCCCTCCCTCCTTCTCTCTCTCTCTCTCTCTCTCTCTCTCTCTCTCTCTCTCTCTCTCTCTCTCTCTCTCTCTCTCTCTCTCTCTCTCTCTCTCTCTCTCTCACACATGCACGCCCGCACACACCTACCTACCTACTTACCTTTTATTTCAGAAAAATTAATATTTTGACACAAAAAGTGCATTACATAAAATTGAGATTGCCCATAATTTTGCAGTTATATTCTTAAATAATAAGGTGAATAGCTCTAGAACTAACTGATATAGAAGAAAATGATATTCTACTAATATTTCTTCTCCTTAGGTCAGCTGATTCAATTTTCTCGATTTTTTTTCTTTTATGTTTGTTCAGATCAGTCCCTACCAAAGCTTTCCACTAATTATGAAGGCGAGTCTACTTCCTTACTTTCTTCATCTACCTTCACATAATTCTGATCAGTATGCTACACTGAGGCTCGCTCCAGAACAAAGAAATGCACACAAGTTGGGTTTACTGGGGAAACAAAAATGCATTCATATTTAATGATTCATGTTTTGGCGTTGGTCTTTGGTAAATCTAACAAGTGCTTGCACATCTAGCATTGCTCAGGGTGTAAGATGGTTATGGTCTGAAGCAAGATGCATTCCTTGGGAACCAGATATATATATTTAATCTGTACTCAAAATATCTGTGATAGTGGTTTTACTGTCAGAGTATTGACATCTTTTTGCTGGGTAATATGATCAGTTTGAAATCTTTTTTAAAAAGTACTAGTTTCCTATTAATATTATCAGTGGTTTATATTTTTAAAATATATATTAGTTTCCTATTAATATTATCAGTGGTTTATATTTTTAAAATATATATTAGTTTCCTACTAATATTATCAGTGGTTTATATTTTTAAAATATATATTAGTTTCCTACTAATATTATCAGTGGTTTATATTTTTAAAATATATATTAGTTTCCTACTAATATTATCAGTGGTTTATATTTTTAAAATATATATTAGTTTCCTACTAATATTATCAGTGGTTTATATTTTTAAAATATATATTAGTTTCCTATGAATTTTATAAATTATCTATGTTTTTTAAAATATGAACTAATTTCCTTATTAACTCACTTGAGCAGGTGTGTTTTTTTATGATTGTATTAAGTGCATTTAACATATTTGTCAATCATTGCAGCACCAAGATCACCTCGGAAAAATGCATTTGTTGATATAGACCTGGTCGATGGGTAAGTTATACAATTTAAGTTTTATGAAAGGGTGGGGGGGGGGGGGGGAAATAATATATTGTTGTTACATTGCAGATCCATTCATTCATTCATTCATTCATTCATTCATTCATTCATTCATTCATTCATTCATTCATTCATTCATTCATTCATTCATTGTCCTGTTGTGCCATTATATGTGACGTAGGACTCAGTCTATTTCACCATTTTGTTCTGTCCTACGTATTTACTTTGATGATATCACGAATGGAATGCAGTCCAGCACCTTTATCTTCTTTCATCAGCATTCGCCTTATGGTTTCTTTAGGGCATCCTCATTTTCCCATTTCATTGCCTATTTGGTGATTCTCTCTGTTCATCTCTTCTCAGAATGTGTCCAGTGTAGCGCCATCTTCTCTTTCCTGTAACTATTGATACTAGTGATTAACCAGACATCTCTCAGATTTCTTCACGCCATTTGAATCTGACCCATTTTATTTTCATCATTTTTCTCAGGCATTTGTTTTGAAATGCATTTAATTTTTGTTCCATATCTTTAGTGGTTCTTCAACGTTCACTGGCATATGTTAAAACTGAAAAAAAAACATTATAAAGGAAAATACTTAATTTGTTTTTAAAACTGTAATTTAGAATTCCATATTTTGTTCAAGCTTTTCAAAGCTGCTGATGCCTTGCCAGTGTGGATTTTAATGTCTTCCTTTATGTTTTCTTGACTATGAATATTACTACCTCTGCTTGACCTCTTTTTGGTGTCTTCAGTATATTTGTTTTATAATTTATTTGTAGCCCAACTGTTTTTTCATGTCATCAGTGTTTTTACTTAACAGAACAAAATCATCTGCAAAATGGAGATCTTTCAACTGTGTGTTCTCCCACCCAATCAGTGCGGGTGTTTCCGACAGAATATAATTATCATCTTCCAACTTTTGCTGTCAAGAGTGTATTGTGGGGGAGAAAGAGCTGGTGGTTCAGCACTTGGTGGGGGTGGGGGGGGGGGGGGGGGGGGGGGGGGGGGGGGGGGGGGGGGGGGGGGGGGGGGGGGGGGGCACCACCACTGACTTTTGTCATTCCCTATGAATGTATGTAAATAAAGGACCATTTTCATGCCTTCAGGCCTGTTGGGCATATTGGACTAGGCCTATATTTTATAGACCAACGGCACTTTGATGGGTGATCTGATCAGCATCCAGCCAGCCGCCTTTGCTTCCCAGGACTTTTACCTGATACCCATTTGAGGCTGGGTCGACCTGAGATCCAAGGTCATTTTTTGAAGTCCAGCACTGTCCAGATTTGAATCCACAACTTTTTTTATATGCAAGTAAATGTCTGGCCACTACACCATGGCAGCTTCCAGTGTATGTAAGGACCCTTTTTACATTAGTGGCACATCAAGCATATGATGGTAGACTAACATGTTATAGACCAGCTGGCAATTGGTGAGTGATTTAGTCATCATTACACCAGCCATCTTTACTTCCTGGTACCCATTTTGTTGTTGTAGCACCAAGGAGCCAAGGTCAGTTTTGAACACAAAAATCTACTTAATGTATATTTAAACCGTGGACCTTTGGACCAGCAAACAAACAAATAGTTGCTATCCTACCACAGCTTCCCATTTGAATATACATTACCTTTAATATCATCAATCTGTCTTCTTCTTCTTGGGTGCTCTTGTGCTGACATATCAGATTTCCTTAGGTACAGCACCTGCATTGGTAATTGGTGTTTGCTTTTTGTGACAAGATTCCAAAACTATTTGATCTGTTAATTTTAATAATGATGCCAATAATGTGTCAGTTGTATAACTTTGTGTGAGTTACAGTATTTACATCTGGTTTTATCCCATATGGCTCGGTCTCTCTCCTCAAAGCAGCCAGGCGCTTGCCCTGAGCATCCCACAAAGCACAAACTCTGTAGCTCCAGCAACAATACCAAGGATCTCCGTAAAAATTGAGCTGAAAGGCGCAGCTGTGAAATGAACCCATGACCCGCAGAGCATGAGACAAACGGCTTAACCATTTCGCCTTGGGGACCCGAACTTTGTGTGAGTTAGATTTGATAATGCCAGGAATTTTTGTGTGTATAAAGAAAGTTTTGCTATTTCCCATGTAATTTAAGGACTTCTTAGTTATTAGAATGTGAAGAGACCTCAGACATGAGGAAATTAAATTCTGCCTGATTCAAATGGAAAGTCATTTCAGTTGAATTAGTGGCTCATGAAAACCACACAGTAGCTCACAGTTGTGTCAGTACAGAACAGGATTCATCAATGTAAACACACTAAAGAAAATGCTTAGGAGAAGGTCGGAACACTATGGGCAAGCTCGACCTACATTAAAGATGATCCTGTAATAAACAGGAAGATCATTTGCAACTTGAATGCTCTTGGAAGAAAAGGTTGCCCCCGCTTAATATTTATCTCTTCACAGGGAAGTGGGTATAAAAATAGGTTGCAGGCAACTTATGCCAAATGTAGTTCATATTGTAGAAATAGGTCCTTTACTTCAATTGTACTGTTATTGTCCTTAAAACAATGCTTTTGGTTCTTTACTTGAATTGTACTGTTATTGTTCTTAAAACAATGCTCTTGGTTCTTTACCTCAATTGTACTGTTATTGTTCTTAAAACAATGCTCTTGGTTCTTTATCTCAATTGTACTGTTATTGTCCTTAAAACAACGCTCTTGGTTCTTTACTTCAGTTGTACTGTTATTGTTCTGAAAACAATGCTCTTGGTTCTTTACTTCAGTTGTACTGTTATTGTTCTGAAAACAATGCTTTTGGCTCCTTACTTCTATTTTACTTTTATTGTTCTGAAAACAATGCTCTTGGCTCTTTACTTCTATTTTGCTCGTATAGTCCTTAAAACAAAGCTCTTGGCTCTTTACTTCTATTTTACTCCTATAGTCCTTAAAACAAGGCTCTTTGTTTGTTTTTTCTATTTTACTGTTATTGTTCTGAAAACAATGTTGTCTCAAGTGGTCCTTTTACTCCATTCAGGTCTCCTGTGGATAACCCTGTGATAAAACCAAGCATTGTTGCAACATCAAAGCCTGGAGGTAGCAGCAGAGCAGTAGCTTCCAGCAGTGCAAAAATAGTAGGTGCAGATATTCATTACAAATAAGCTCATCCCATAATGAAGATTACTTGTCCTCAAAACAGATTTTATGTTCTTTTGTGTACACTTTTGGACCTGTAGGCTACATATGCCAGTGTTCGCGGTTTATGCATTGCAAATGCACTTTGTAATAAAATACCTGTTTTGATTCACCTGCAAGTAATTTGGCAGCAGAGTGCTTTGCATTGATTTCAACAAGGGCATTGAATGCTGACCATTCAGAAGCAGTGGCAGACTGCTGAACATAAAATTACCTAGTAAAACCACAAACAGCCTAAAGAAATTGAGTTCATTTCTACTCATGAAGATCGGCTGACTGAATGGCTAAGAATGCAGGGCTCTCATGCATGAGACCCAGGTTCAAATCCTGGGTAAGGTCGGGGTTTTTCTGTCTGAGCCAAAAATAAATTCTTAACCTGCTCAGTCCGTGGTGACTGCACTATCTATGCGGCCATAAATTCTCAGGTTCAAAGACCCCCTGCCTACACCACAGGCACAGGCAGTAATGGCAGTTTCTACAATGCCATGCAAACAATGTGCAACTAACTTTATAACGCAGCAGATCTTAAGTTTAATGTAATTGCAACTAAACATTTTATTTTGTTTTAGAAATGCAGACAAACAGTTTTTTGAAATTATTGTTTTATTGTGTTAAAAAAAAAAACTGCCCATATAAAATAAGTCATTGCTAGATATAAATATAACTGCAACCAAACAAAAACAAAAGCCACAATAAATAGAGTAAAAAAAAAAAGAGGACCCTTTTCAGGCATATAGGGCTAGACCTATATTTTATAAACCAGTCGGCACTCGGTGGGTGATGTGGTCAGCATCATACCAGCCAGGACTATACCCAGTACCCACTCAAGACTGGGTCAACCTGGGAACCAGGGTCATTTTTTGAAAAAGTCCAGCTCCGTTAGGACTCGACCTTCCGATCCACAGGCAAGCGTCTAGCCGCTAGATCATAGAGCCCCCGCAATGAATAAAGCTTGAATATATTACCTATACATAAGCCAGCAAATATACATTTAATAATAATAAATAAAAAACACTGTTTCACATAAAATTAACTGGCCATGGTTCCTGTGATATGCATCAGATCACATACTATGTTGCACATGGCTAACTGCTTGTCACATATGGTACATTGCTTGGGGCTGAATAAGTTAACTAATCTTTGAAGTTATTTTATTGGCTTGCTGTTGTTTGGAAATAACCTGGCATAGTTTTTTTTTATTTTTTTAAAACCATGTGTTATGGATATGACTGCTGCAACCACCAATTGATGGGCCATCAGTGGGTTTATTGATCTGTGTAGTTTTTTCATTGTCTTGCTGTTTTTCATGATAAGCTTGTGTTACAGATTTGACTTGTAATAACCAGTTGATGGACTATCAAGGAGTTAATTAATCTTTGTATTACATTGCCTTGCTATTGTTTCTGATTAACCTAGTGTTTGTTATGCATTACAGACATCACTGCTGCAGCCCCCAATTGATGGACCATCAACAAGTTTGTGAGTACATTTTTTGGTGCTTTATTAATATCCTACCCCAAACAGTTGAAATCCACAGATCACGGGACAGTCTAATATTTCAGGGGGTGGTAGATAGGCCGCATGCAGTCGTGGGACCTAGGCTGCATGTGGTTGTGGGACCTAGGCTGCATTCTCTTGTAGGACATAGGTGGGTTGGGGTTAGGGCCAGTTCTAGATGTTTTTAAGTCGTTAAAAGCATCAGAAAGCTAGGAAACCCAATCTTACCACACTCTAAAGTGTTGGACTGTCATGTGATGTCATCTGGGGGTAGGATATTAATAAAGCACCCATTTATTTTTAAACATTGTTTGCATGTGTTATATCTGTTTGTTTGTTGCTGAATTTGGTCTATAAAAGGTATGGACCTAGCTCCTTATGTCCTTATACCTCAAGACGTTTAAATTGATCCTATAATCTTTAGTTTAATTGTCTTAATGTTCCTGCTCTAGACAACTTTATTTCTTCTGCATTTACCATTAGAATGCAGTTAGCACTTGCCTCTGCATATAAGATTTCAACAAACTGGAAAAAAAAAAAATATGGCAACACCCCCCCCCCCCCCCCCCCCCACTTCAGTGGGGTTCCAAAAGCCACTCAAGGACCAACATTTCTAATTTTATGTTAAAGTAAAAAAACTAATTAAAAATGTGGTCATCATCATCATCATCATCAGTACATGCCCTGCCGACTGGCACAGGCGTTCATGCATATCCACAGATCTTGGTACCTTGTCCCCTCCTTCAGTTCCACTGATGATATCCCTCCATGCCACCATCACAATCCATCCATCATCTGTCTTGGTCTGTCTCTCCCTCTTGTACTGTTGGTCTTCCCAGGTGTCACAGTATTCTCCACTCTCTCCTCCTCATCACATGACCAAAGAACAGTGCTTGTCCTTTCCTTATAGGTGTATATATTGATCTGCTTTCATTGGCTTCTTTCAAGCAGTCCTTATTAGTTACTCTGAAAGTCCATCAGATTCTTAACATTAGTCTGAGAAACCACATCACCGTCACCTCAAAGTTTTTCTGATTTATGCATTCACATTCCATGATTCACTGCCCTACAACAGTGTGGGTTTTACATAACATTTTAGTATTCTCAGACATCCAAAGAGAAGGACCTTTAGCACAAGATGTTCTTCATTCTGTGAAATACAGCCTAAGCCTGGCCTATTCTGCTCTTAATTTCTGCCACACATCTTCCGTCTGATATTATGACTGTACCCAGAAAGTGTGGTATTGGTTGTAGTTTCTGTTGACAGATTTCTTATTTTTGTGAAAGCTCCTGTTGCCTATATTGCATTTGTTTTTTTTTTAAATATATCTCTTCCTCCATCTTTATCTACAATACTGCTTAAATAAGTCCTCCATCTTTATCTACAATACTGCTTAAATAAGTGTATAATTTTACCCCTTGAAGTTTTGTTATTGAGCAGTATGTTTCAAAACAAAAAAGGATCGTACCATTCTACAGATTCAGCATAACAAAGATTAAGGATGAAATACTTTTTTTAATGGCTTTCTGTTCCCTGCTTTTAAAGCTGTCACTAATGGATTTTTTGTGTGTGCCTCTTTCTTGCAGACAGGACTTTGACAGTGTTGAAAGAAGTGAGGTGTTAAAGTCGGTAAGTACAAAATATCAAACATCTGTATAAATCATTCAGTATATCATGGGGAACAACTAAAACAGTTACTGATAAATTACAAACATTCATTCATTGCTGCCTGAATAAAATGTTATGATAGAATCACTAATGTTGAACTTTGGAAGAGTCTAAATCAAGAGGTGTGGAAAAGATGCTGACATTGAATAGAACACAAGTTTAGAAAATCTCATAACAGTATAACTAGAATATCTTTGCACTTGAATGCACAGGAAGAAAGGAACAAAGGCAGAAAATCACACACAGAATTGAAACAGAGAGTGAAGTTACACAGATGGAAAGGAAATCGGGTGAGCTGCATGCAGTAGGAAAGGATAGGATGGCTTGGCATGTGTTGGTTAAGGGCCTATGCTCCACTAGGGATAAATGGTAGAAACAAGAAGAAGAAAAATCATTTGTAAAGGTACTGTGATGTATTTAAAAGGGTTTGCTTACATAATAAATTGTGTCATGTGAAATTCCATCTTTTATCATGCTTGTATTTACACTGTACATTTAGAGTAACTCCATCATTTTTGTAATCATGATTGTAATAATTTCCTCAGTTTTTAGTGAGTTCCTAAAATGTTCTTTTAAGTTTTCATAGTTCTTTCTACCTTTAAACTCCACACATTTCAGCCATATGTTTATGAGATCACTGTATGTTACTCAAGTTCCTAATCTTCTTTTTCTTTGCACTCACCAGCTGTAAACTCCAACATAAAGTTCTGGTTGTTCATCCACTTCTGGATTTTAGTCTATTTGCAGAACTTGAGTGATGCATGCACATTCAGATCTGGCTTATGGTATGCAGACTGTTGGTTCCTTGTCTCTCAGGCACTCTGACTTCGAAGGAAACCCCTAATTTATCTACTCTAACGACATACTTGTTAGGGAGGCGGTGGGTCTATTTGGGTCTATTCTTGTTTACCTCACAGTGGGGCTCAGGAACCCCATACGGGAAAGTCTCTGATGAAAACAGAAATAGTGAAACAGTGACCTGTCATGCATGTTGTTAAAGAAGACTGTGAAAAGTTTAGTGACAGACTGGCTACCTCACCATGAAGGAAACTTCAGCTCCAAAATCCAGCTAATTATGAACAGTCTGTAAAGGGTTTTGCTTCAGTAAGTTGAGGATTCAGTTTTAGATGTGTGGGTCATAACTTAAATGAAAAAGTATGTGCATCTAAGTTCAAAAGAGGCATTTACTGCCCTAAATGGTGCAGCGCCGGCTAGATTATTGTGGTATAAAGTTAGTTATATATCCTTTACAAGACGTTGCAGAACCAACCCAGCATTTTTAGGCTGTTTTGGTTTTTCTAGGCAAATTTTACTTTCAGTAGTTTGCCATTGCCACTGTTGAAACCAGTGCTAGACAAATCGTCTGCTGCTGGGATCGAGCCCGGCGCCACGAAGCACGCTCGCAACGCCCAAGCCACAGACACTGACTGTTCTAGTATATTTAGTCTAAACCTAAACCTCAAAATAACACACAATGCATTTACTGAAACGTTAGGTCATTAGCTGAACACACAAACTGCATGGTTTGGAATAGAAAGAGTCATTTAAGAAACACTTTACCTTCATTAGAATAATCCAGTATATCCTGTTATCTTCTCATATTCTGCATATCCATACATGATTGTTGCAATATATTGTTTATCTTTTGTTTCTTTTAGTCACATATTGCCATTTTTATTTGCCTAATGTTGGCCAAAGCAATGTGCAGTGCAAAGTAAACACTGCTCTTATTTTAACCATTTTTTTTTAAATTTGGCTTTTCAAAGCTCTGTGCTAAAAATTCTATCACATGATCTTATTGTTCTTTTGTGTTGGTCTTTCCTCTTGAGCCTGGGGCGGCACATAGGACAGAGGTCATAGCTCTCCATGTCTGGTGGTTCATTGCCACCTGTTTTAGGTCTTGGATGTTCGTTAGGCCCATGGTTGAGTCTTACCTGATGATGGTTCTATGCAGACTATGCAGAGTCTTGGTCTTCCCGTTTTCTTCTTTCTTCTGGTGTCTGTAGGATGGCTTGATGGGGGAGTCTTGTTCTTATCCTTCTGAATGCACAGCCGATGTAGTTTCAGCGGCACTTTCTTTTAAACTGAATACATAATCTTGCTATGTCTCTCTCTTTTTTTTTTTATTTGCCTATTGGATCTGAAATCTGTTCATTGGAGATTTAGTATCCTTCTAAGATATCAAATCTCAAAATTATCTAATTTAATTTTTAATCTAGAGCTACTATTGCTTTCCAACTCTGTTTTGTGTGCGGGTACAAATAAATCAATATATTTAGTTTACTTATAATGCTTTGGACATAATGCTTTTTTAGTATCCATACAGCAACACTGATTTAAAGTTTATTACTAGATTTAATTTTCTTCGACTTCCGCAAAGTTCCTAGGGCTGTGAAAGCTTAATCTTTCTTTTTGTATTTAAGTTGTTATATCTCTTAGTAGATTTTATCATATTTATGTGTGTGGTTTGATTGATCTTGTAATATTCCTGCATCTGACTTTGTTGATTATGTCATATCTCTGTGCCTGAATTTGTTGATCGTGGCATATTTCTGTGTCTGATTTTATTGATCATTTCATATCTCTGTCCAATTTTATTGATCTTGTTATATGTCTGTGTCCGATTTTGTTGATCTTGTCATATCTGTGTGTCCAAATTTATTGATCTTGTCATATCTCTGCATCGAGTTCTGTTGATTGCCATATCTGCGTCAGATTTTATTGATCATGTCGTATTTCTGTGTCTGACTTTACTAGTTATATCACAGCTCTATTTCTTGTTTTGCTGTGTAATTGTTTTCTGTTTATTTATTATTCATGTGATATCTGTATGGCCAACTTTGTTGTTCATAATAAAACGCTGTTTGACTTTGTTGATTTATCATAGTCTATTGTTTGGCTTTGTTGTTGATAATACCCCTGCATGGCTGACTGTATGCTTCTTTACAATTGTTGCCACAATCATATTAGCACAAGAAGCCACAAGGTCCCGCCCGCCGAACACCAAGTCGAAAGTACCGTCTCGGCCGTGAGGTAGATGAAAACCCAGAAGCTAGGTCCCGCGCACCCACTGTCATTGTCTCAAAAAGTTCTGACACCCGCTGTCTGAATCACTCTGTCAACCACATGCAGGAAAACACAGACAAGGAAAACGAAGGAAGCTATCCTCACGAGAGTGACAGAGTTGGTGGCAGTCCTCCCTTTAGACCCAAGAGCTTGCACAGAAGTGATGGGAAAGCCTTGTCAGTTCAGTCTCTGAGTATGCAGAACACCATAGAACCTTCAGCTAGCCAGCAGTCTCCTTCAAGTGGGTCAAGCATATCAGACAGGTCGCCCAGCAGCGCCATCAAGCTGTTCATACCTCCACTTGATCTGTCTACACTTCATGAGCATGTGGACGGAGTGGGTAAGCATAGATTTTGTCTTAGTATATAGAACAGTTTATTCCCTTTGTATACCACAATTAGTTCTTAAATTGTCATCTGTTCTTTGAATACAGAAACCACAGTAAGAGTTGAGTTTGAAATCAACATCTTCTGACTTTGATGATCTGATTGCGCTTCTTCTCTCTTCATTTACTCTCAAAGAATCTTGAAAACATCTAGATTGATGCTTACCGCTCTGCAAGAAGCATGTATGTCTCCACGTTTCTTAGCATACTTCGTAGATCTGTTACAATAATATGTATATGAAACTGGTACTCAAGCCAGCAGAAGATTACAGGAATCTTCATTCTCAGATTAGATTTTATGCTGTCATAGGTTTGGCTTTGTTTCAATAATGGTAATCCATCATAGTGTGAATTAAACAGGAACTATCTGTATATATTGTTTAATCGGTTTTATTTATGTTGATCTCTTGTCCACTTCCATTATTAGCATATTTGTATTCATAGTCAGAGTCCAGCATACATACGTATAAGCAGGATGAAATATTATGTAGACTATGGACACATAAGCAGGATGAAATATTATGTAGACTACGGACACATAAGCAGTATGAAATATTATGTAGAGTAGGGACACATAAGCAGTATGAAATATTATGTACACTACAGACACATAAACAGTATGAAATATTATGTAGACTACGGACACATAAGCAGTATGAAATATTATGTAGAGTAGGGACACATAAGCAGTATGAAATATTATGTAGACTACGGACACATAAGCAGTATGAAATATTATGTAGACTATGGACACATAAGCAGTATGAAATATTATGTAGGCTACGGACACATAAGCAGTATGAAATATTATGTAGACTACGGACACATAAGCAGTATGAAATATTATGTAGACTACGGACACATAAGCAGTATGAAATATTATGTAGACTACGGACACATAAGCAGTATGAAATATTATGTAGACTACGGACACATAAGCAGTATGAAATATTATGTAGACTACGGACACATAAGCAGTATGAAATATTATGTAGGCTACGGACACATAAGCAGTATGAAATATTATGTAGACTACGGACACATAAGCAGTATGAAATATTATGTAGACTACGGACACATAAGCAGTATGAAATATTATGTAGGCTACGGACACATAAGCAGTATGAAATATTATGTAGACTACGGACACATAAGCAGTATGAAATATTATGTAGACTACGGACACATAAGCAGTATGAAATATTATGTAGACTACGGACACATAAGCAGTATGAAATATTATGTAGACTACGGACACATAAGCAGTATGAAATATTATGTAGATTACGGACACATAAGCAGTATGAAATATTATGTAGACTACGGACAGATAAGCAGTATGAAATATTATGTAGACTACGGACAGATAAGCAGTATGAAATATTGTGTAGACTATATACACATAAGCAGTATGAAATATTATGTAGACTACGGACACATAAGCAGTATGAAATATTATGTAGATTACGGACACATAAGCAGTATGAAATATTATGTAGACTGGACAGATAAGCAGTATGAAATATTATGTAGACTACGGACAGATAAGCAGTATGAAATATTGTGTAGACTATGGACACATAAGCAGTATGAAATATTATGTAGACTACGGACACATAAGCAGTATGAAATATTATGTAGACTATGGACACATAAGCAGTATGAAATATTATGTAGTCTATGAACACATAAGCAGTACGAAATATTATATAGGCTACTTTTAAAGTGCTGTGAAGGTTGCAAATGGAGAAGGCAGATTTCTTTATTTCTTTTTGACCAAAAAAAAAAAAAAAAAAAAAAGAAAGAAAAGAATACATTATGCAATAGTTGGGATTCAGTGTAAAAAAAATACAGTTATACAACATTTTCATTGATTCTGTTTTCTTGATTTAATTACAATAAAAAATGCCTATTGCTTCAAATGATTATATTGCCATTCCTTCAGATCCGATTCCTCTGTCCATGGAGTACTCAGAGACACAAGCATGGTTGAAAACCAAGCATCTGGCAGGTGCCGATGATATTGATGTGGCTATTATTTCTCCCAGGTCTCACAAGCTGAAGAAACGAAATGAGTGAGTCTCTTGTGTAATATTTATTTGTCTCTCCTTGTTCTCATTCTTGCTTGTTGAAACAGTTGGTTCAGTGAAATGCTGTTAACATTACTGCTTTGTTGTTGCCACTGTAATCTGTTATCTTGTGTTGAAATTCTTTGGGAAGTTTTTATATATGTACTAATATGTACTTGTTTAATGTTAATTAATGTGGCTTTTAAGGCAGATGTTTCATCCAGTTGTATGCCTCTGTGGTTTGGGTGTTGCAAACGTGCTTCATAATTCTGAGGTACCTGGTTCACTTCAAGCTGTGGGCGATTTGGCAGCAAACTTTGTGTTGATTTTGAGAAGGGTATCGAGAGCTGACCATTGAGTAAACAGTGACAAGCTACTGAATGTAAAATTGTCTAGTCAAACGAAAGCTGCCAGCAAATGCTAGAGTTGGTTTGTTTCTGCATACAAAACTAACCCCCCCCCCCCCTTCCCACACTTGTTTGTGAACTGTTACTGTTATATTGTAAAATGTTAGGTTATATTGCCAATTGTTATGGTTTTATTGCCATGGTGATGTAATGGTTAGTGCACTTGCCTCACAAAACATTGGTACAGGTTCAGCCTCCATACGAGGCAGATTTTGTGTGTGTTTAAACTAGTAAAACTGTACTAAGCCTCGTTAAACGGGTTACCAGACAATTTTCGAAATATTCCAGGGCTTGTCAGGTAAGGGAGAGAGGGAGGAAAGAAAATGGCCACCTTACTATGTATGTTGTCTAGATACTGTGAAGGTCTAATACTTCATACCCAGCATGAGATGACCTTTACTGTGAGGTTTTTGACTATTGACACTGTACATTAGTGGTTCCTATTTTCTGGTCTGCGAAACATATTTGAAGGGTCCGTGATATCATTTACAGAAGGAAACCCCAACTTTAGAATGCAGCCCATTTTGTGATTCTAATATTTATAAATTATACATCTTCTCTTGATCTTAAAGAAAATAATGTATTAATTTTAAAAAAAAAAGGGGGTAGGGGTCCGTGGCAGGAATGTGAAAATAAGATGGTTTTGCAGTTCTTAGCTTACTGTGAACCACTACTGTAAATTATTTGTAGCCTTGTCATTTTAGTATAGATAGGTTGAGAAGACCACTAATGGGCCATGATCAAACATAAATAAACATAGATAACTGTTCAGGCTCATCCATGTTTGTCAGGAGGCCATTTAAAGAAGCAAACAATAGTACCAGTGGCCTATCGTGTATGCCATTAGTGTCTTCTAGGGATAATTGGGTTAAAATTAGTGGCGTAACTTCTCAGAAAATGTTAGCTGCAAAATACAACCAATCAAAGTTTAGAGGGCTCGACATGAGTTGGTCTAGGGTTATCTTTTGGAGAAAAAAGACAATATGGAATGGAGTGGAGGAAATGACTACAGGCTGTGTGTGTCGACCAAACACTACAACAGGATGATATATATATATATATATATGTGGGAAGGGAGGGGGGGGGGGAATCTTCCTTGACCTTGTACTGTACACTATCCAGGATGCTAACACAGCTCCCCCCTCCCCCAAAACACACACACACACACAAACACACACATTAAACTGCTTGTATTAACGAACAAATAAACAAAACTTTATTTTCAAAGGGTTACAAATTGGGCATGCAGGTGCATCTAACATTCAGCCCTTCCAAGCACTCATCTTTCAGACCACATCTAACATTCAGCCCTTCCAAGCACTCATCTTTCAGACCACATCTAACATTCAGCCCTTCCAAGCACTCATCTTTCAGACCACATCTAACATTCAGCCCTTCCAAGCACTCATCTTTCAGACCACATTTGCAAGTAATCATTCACTGCATGTCATGTTTATATAAACATATACATTCTGAGATAATGCACACACACATCATGTGTTCACAATCATGCGCACTCAGTATACATGCACACACATACTCTTATATGTCCATACATACACAGACACAAGCACACCCATACATTTACATGCACACACGCGAGCACACGAGTGCACACACATACACATATATATATATGCACTCATGCTTATACAGACACATACACTTGTACAAGCACCCACACTCATGGGTACACATACATGCACTCAAAATCATACACACATGCATAATAATTGTTATACACACATGCACTCATACATATACAAGCACACAACCATTCAGATACATGCATCCACACACAAATGCACTCTCATGCATGCATGCATACACAGATGAACATTCACTAAAACACCTACACATTCATATATCCATATACATACACTCATGCATACAAATGCAATTATACATACATACCCAGACATACCCACACCTGAACACATATACATACTTACACTGACATTCATGCAAACCTTAAACACCAATGACGGGAAGGCTAACCCGGTCAACAAATGCTCGCAGAAGTCAGATGTGTTGGCCGAAAGATGCAGATATCGCAGCCATGGACACAACACAATTATATCTGTGGATGAACGCAGAATAAAAAGAAAAGACAACAATACGTTATTAAGAAATATGGAGCCATTGTACATAATAGCTAGCAGGCTAGCCTCCCTTAGGGACATGGATTCATTTTTAGCAACCCATGCTCCTAGTTAAGTCCAGTGTAAAATGAATGCCAGGAGATTATCTGGGAAGTAAAGGCTGTCTGTCTGGTTTTGACTGCATCCGTCGAGTGCTAGTAGTCTAAACTTATGAAGCCAACACCGTATACCCAGTGCAGCTCATGGCATAACAAGAAGTCTCTGTTTGACTTGCATAAATCAGTTCACCTTTGTGTATTAATGTTTATTTCATTACCAAAATTACTTTCTAGTTGTGCTGACCTGGAAACACCAGTGTCTGTTGTCATTGAGGCACCCATGTCTCCCAGTGTTTTCTATGGCAGCG